AGCTTGCCACTTTAAAAAGATGGAAGGTACATGCAATGGAAAATATCTGAGGTACTACTATGACTCTGTTTATGACAAATGCAAAAGATTCCTTTGGACCGGATGCCTCGGAAATGGAAACAGATTTTTTGACTTTATCAGCTGCAACTCCACCTGTGCTGGCATCCATGGTGAGCACACACATCTCTCTTTTACTGTCACTGTTACATGTTAATATATCAATATGTTATTGAATATTAATTAATGAGTCAGTGTTAATTTTAAAAAAAACACGCAGTACGATAACATGTTTTTTGTTTGTTTTTTGTTTGAAGATGATGGTAATGAGGCAGAGGAGGATGAGCCAGACACTCCAATTGGTCAGTAGACACACTTTAACCTTAAAGGACATAATGTGAGAAAAACAGATTGTTTTAACTATTATGAGTCAACTTCTCACTAGCTTTTTACTTAGCACCGTATCCATTTACACAAACCTTATTGTTAAACTGCCACCCTCTTTAACAGCGATCATCTGTGGAGTTTTGCTTGCACTCATCGTTGTTGCTATCATTGGAACGGTGGTTTTCCTAACGCTTAAGTCAAAGTAAGAAGAATTTTGTTTGCCTTAAACGAAAAGAAAGATCATTCCTCACTGGTAATGGCAATTTTTCTACAATTACTTTAATACTCGTTTTACTTCCTGTAGGAAAAAGAAGAAGGGTGCTGGGAAAAGTAAAGAGCCCCAGGCTGATGCGCCTCTTCAGGCAGAGAGAGACATTGAAATGTCATAGAAAACTTCAAAGAGCAACGTTTAGATTTTACCAGCTTGGTTTTGGGCAATAATCCGTCCACTAGTTTTGATTTCCTTATAACAGTCATTACATTATTGAAATATTGTGTTTTATTTCATTTCTATCTCTTAATTATTTTTTAAGCTTTGATCAATAGAATTAGTCATTGTTAAATGAATAGAAAATAGATTGTTGTAATAGTAGCAATAGTTAAATAATCAAAAAAAAAAAACCCCTAAAAGACTTGCATCAATAATTTGGGGTCATTAGAACCCAGGCAGTGTTTTACACAAGCATTCAAACATAGGCAGGAGACAGGAAACAAGTTCACATTCGTTTGTTGCTTGAAAGGCTGTTAGTAGTTTGACCTCATAATATTTCACTGTTTCCAAAACTGCATCGACACCTGGGGATTTGATGAAAAAACGTCTGAGGTCTGAATGCACGTGCCAATTCGAAGCCCAGCACGTATATTTAGAACTGTTTTTTGTACAATGATGTCTTACGCACTCTCTGTGATTATGTTTTCTTACTCAGCATTCGTAACTCTTGCACAGGCAGTAATGATCTAAATATAAAAAACGCATTCCTTCCTATCTTCTCACATCTTCATATTCTTCATTTAGTATTGCTTTATTTTGTATTGTATTCAGGGTATAAAAAGTATTCACAGAACATGGAATGTTTGATTTTAATAAATGTGCTGGTAGAAATTGATCTTAATGTCTTTTTCTATTTTTTGTTAGTGAGGAGGGATAAATGTTCATAAAAGACTGGAAATATCCTGAGTGTTGTTTTACTTTACAGGGTGTTCTTCTTAAGGTGCTTTTGTACTGTTTGAGTTGGAGCAAAGTTGAAAAGTGATCAAATTCAACTGTAACATTGTCTGATTGGTTCAATAAAAGATGCTGTTTCTTTTATTTGGATGTTAATTTTTTTTCATTGTTAATTCCAGAAATACAGCTGGGATATATGCAGCTGCATTATTGGCTAGAATGTCCCATGCTGCAGAAGGTGACTTTTCTTTAAAATTAAAAAAACATGGGTCCTTGTCCAATCTCGTCATCTGCACCTCCATATGGCTAATTTTACAATTAGCTTTGGGCAAACAGGATAGAACTATTTGTAATCTGCAGAGAGGTAATCACATATTACATTGCAATCTTAAATCTTTTTCATTCATTGGTATTTCCTGACTTCCATGTGGGAATTATGCAAGTACACACATACAGTATCTGCTCTGGGCCTGATGCTGGCTGTAATGTGTACAGATGGACTTTGGTGTTTTCTTACGATCTAGGAGAGAGCTACACTATACTCACAGAATCAGGGGTTAGGGTAGATAATCAACATTCTTTTGCTTCATTTCCATGACTACGGTAGAAAAAATACAGCACACTTTCAGAAAGCTATGTGGGCAGCAGGAGCTCATTTTTTTTTAAAAATCAGTAAACAACATGTGAGACCACTACTTTATTAGGGTGAGAATAAGGGTGAAAATTACTATTCATCTGACCGCCCGCCTTTTGACTCGTGTGAAGAGACACCAACATATTACTCCGGTGATTGCTTCCCTTCATTGGCTTTCAGTGACTTTTAGAATTAAATGTAAAATCTTACTTTTGACTTATAAAGCGCTAAATGGCCACGCACCAAACTATTTGTCTGACCTTTTAGAGCTTTGTACGCCCTCTAGAGCCCTTCGATCAAGTGATCATTTACATCTTACCTTACACAAGTCTAGGATGGTTCATAGAGGGGATTGGGCGCTTGTGGTTGTGGCGCCGAATATGTAGAACGATCTACCTCTCCACATTAGAAAGGCCCCAACTTTCACTTTTTAAAAATCCCAACTTAAAACATATTTTTTCACTTTGGCTATCGATACTACATGAGAGTTACCAATTCTTTTTATCCTAATTTTCTTTTAATTTTCTTACCTGTTGTTGATGTTAATGTCACTGCTTAATTATTACTTTTTTTCTTTTGGTCAACTCTGTGTTGTCATTAAATGTGCTTTATAAATAAATAAATGAAATCTGCTTCTTAAAGCAAACCTCTAATAAGAGAATCACATGCATGGTCAAGATGTCCTGCTGAAGTTCAAACCAAGTGTCAGAAGGGGAAACAATGTGATTTAAGCAACTTTGAATGTGGCATGGTTGTTGGTGCTAGACAGACTGCTCTGAGTATTTCAGAAACTACTGATCTACTGGAATTTTCCCACAGACCATCTCTAGGGTTTACAGAGGATGGCCTGAAAAAGAAAATTTATACAGTGGCAGTTCTCAGAGTGAAAATGCCTTGCTGATGTCAGAGGTCAGAGGAAAATGGTCAGGCTGCTTCGAGCGGATAGGAAAGCAACAGTAACTCAGATCTTAGTTGTTACAACTGAGATATCTACAAGCGCATCTCTGAATGTACAACTTGTCGAACATTGAAGCAGATGTACTACGGCTGCAGACGACATCAAGTGCCACTGCTGACAGCTAAAGGTGGGAAAGAGAGACTTCATTAAAAAACTGGGACAACAGAAAAGTTGGAAAAATGTTGCTTTGTTTGATGAAACTTCTGCTGTAAAATTTGGAGGGCAGAGTCAGAATTTGGGGTAAACAACCCCAAAGCATGGATCTGTCAATGGACCAGAATTTGTGATGAATGTTCAATCTATGCCAAAAAGGGATTAAGGAAGCACTGAAGCCAAAACGGGGTCCAACCTGGTACTAGAAATGTGTAACTAATAATGTAGAAGTGAGTGCATAATAACTTTTAATAATGGGGTGAATGCGTTGGGACCTTTAAAGGTGAAGAAAGATGAACCCTGCATTACTGCTTATTACTTGACACCTTCTGCAAAGGGGACCAGTGTCAAGATCTAGTTTTTCTTTGTTATTTCACTTTATAATGTATTCATGTGGAGCATAGTCCTAAATAAGGTTGTGTTTAATGGAAGTGCTAAAGTAAGTGCTGTTTCAGCGTTGGAGGTGTGATGTGAGGACTTATTTAGAAATTATAAGCAGATGGCGGCTCACAAACCTTTATCCAGGAACCTCAAGTTATGCTGGCCATGTGACCTACCCTGGCTCATAGGAGTATGTCTATGTGCATAAAACTCTTGTAGTACATCTCTGCTGATGATATAGAAAAAACGTAGTTTGAATCAGTTTAATCCTCCTCTTTCAGAAGGACCAAAATTAAGTGCAAAATTGTTTAAATGTGTGTTAGTGAATTAACAGGCCTTTTAGCTATGTGTAGATTATATTAGAAACTATTCTCCAATATTCAAAAGGCACATGTTGCAGTTTCAGCTAATGTGGTCAGCGGATTAAGTCCCTATTTACTGACTACTTTCTACATTTAAAGACACTGTGTAATAGGTTCATCTGTTAATTGTTAATGGTAAAAGTTCACTTTTTTCATAGGTTACTTAATCAGTGATATTTAATTTTAACAGACCATGAAGCTTAACAGGTAGAAGTAGCATCTGTCCACGTTTATTCGGTTATTAAATGGTAACAAAATTAAGTAAATTTTTAGGTATGATTGAATAATAGTAATTTTTCATCAACATCCCAGTTGACCAGAATGATATCCACATAAAAAAAATCTTAAATATTGATAATCTTGTATCGTCGCGTTTTACAAAATTGATGTAAAGTGGTCGTGAGGCCCAAGAAACAAATTATTACATTTCCCTAATAATTTGGCAAACAGTCTCTATCCTCAGATTTACTACAACTCAAATCCCAGCGATTAATTGCAGAGTTACGTGGTGACACTGTTAAAGTTTTTAAACGTTAAAGTCCCCTTTGTCACCTACAGGACAGCACACGATGCCGAAACACGAAAATAGACGTCATCACAAGCTCGCATGCGTGTTGGCGACCGAGGTTTAAACAAGGGAAACTTACTAATGACCTGCGACGAAAAACATAACAAAACAAAACGTTATAGAGGACGTGGCAAAAATTGATGTTAATATTTGTGTAACTACTAAGAACATAACCTTTACTAGTGTTATAAGCTACTTATGCGTTTACATGCAATTTCAAAATGAAAATAGCTGATGTTTTGTTAAAAACTGGAACATCAAAATATCAGTAAACATGAAAGAAAGAGCTGCTGTCCCAAGGTCGATTTACAACGTGGCTTTGGCCAGCTTTAAGCAGCAGTTAAAAGGGGGGGGGGGGGACGAAAACGGAAGTGGTGGGAAAAATTCTCTGGTTAAGTTTTTAATCTTTGTCTGTGTGTGTGTGTGAGCCGGCAGACAGTACGTCACTTCCTCAAGTTATTTCCATTTGTTTGTGGAAAGCGCCAGCAGTTATCTGGTACCTCTTAACACCAAGGATAAGGTTACGATTTCATCTTACAGTATGTGCGGGTGGAAGCAGCGGCTCTTTTTATTTATGTAAACAGTTTTAATGTGAAATTATGGAAGCTATACAATAGCTGCATAACGCGTCGGCGTAAGCAAAAGCAGGAAAACGTGCGTTCGCCACCAGAAGTAGTAGATCTGCTAACGTTAGCTAGCTAGTTTTAGGTTAATTGGCTAACTATTGTTAGCTTCCCGGGTCCCGGTACCGTTGGTGTGTTAGTGCTGGTTATAACGTCGGTTCACTCACAATCGTGAGCTGATGGAGTGCCCTCATCTGAGCTCAAACATAAGCGGTGCCTTTGATTCTTCCAGGTTCCCTAACGGTACTCCGTCCTCCTGGTGTTGCAACGGTAAGAGGAGCGTTTTTCTGTCTTTCATTTTACTTCAGTAAAATTAATTTCGTTGTACATAAGCGTAGCTCGGTGCGCAGTATTTTTGGATGCCAACTTGTGAGCAGACTGCCATATTTCTGTCTGCTAGGTAAGCACTAGCCACGAGTCAACAGCAGATATAGCAAGGGCAAATCACAATTCGCCATATCTTTATGGCTGTTGAGAGAATTATTCATTTACATATGCGAGTTCATTAAACGGAATCATCTTTTATGTTCAGTTTGCAGGTCTAATAAAAGTCCATGGATTTGCCTTACCTGTCTGATGGTTCATTGTGGACGGTGAGTTTTGGTTTTGTTTTGTCCGCTAAACCGCCCTCTTAGTAATTTTATTAAGGAAGCTATTGACTTTGGGACAAACAACTTCAATCATTCAGTCACTTAAGGACTGTAGACTGCAGCCGGTGGTCACTGAGATGACTGTGAAAAAACTGAAAAACCCTCAGTTGTGATTTTAATATGATCGATCCTACTGGCCCTAGCCTGTGCTTATTCTGTTTAAAAAAACGTAAAAAAAAATATTCTGCCAAACCTTCTTTTTTTTAAACAAAAAATGTGTTTCCAGAATTCAATTCACATTTGTAAGCTTTATAACACAACAGACACTTGTTAAACTTCTGGGACGGGAAAAAACACTTCTGATTTTAAAACATTCCCCTTGTGTAATTGCGTAAAACCTTTTAACTAAAAATAAATACATTTTTGAGCATAACTATTGAGTCATTTCAAGGAAATTCCAGATGTGTGTTTATAAAGCTGTCTCTTTCCTCATAGATATGTCAATGGGCATGCAAAGAAACACTTTGAAGAGAATCAAGTCCTTTGTGTTAGTCAAAGGAAGGGTGAGAAACATGAAAAAGAGAAAATCCATCATTCTGTTTGCATGGACTGCAGCAGCTACAGTGTGTTTTGGTAAGTGTTCTCTCTGACTACAGTCTGACTCATCTCTTACCAGTCAGAGGATTGTGTTGTCATTTAAAAAAAAAAAAAAAGATCCAACTTTATTAAAATCTGTATCGATTGTAATAATTTCTTCCACATTTCTATGCTACCGGAGAAAGATGTAACAATATTAGTATATTTGTAATAATAATATTTTGTTGTTAATGTGTATTTAATAGTTACAGATGTGATGAATTTGTTGTGAACGACACCAAACTTGGGCAAGTGCAGAAGTTGCGGGAACATCTTCAGAGTTTAGAAAAGTAAGTATTAAACAATATGTTCCTCATTTTACTGTCATGGTTGCCTTTTACTGTTTAAAAGGGACAACTTTTTTTGATATCTCAAGAGTAGGGCTGCAATGATTCATCGAGTAGTTCGATTATAAAAAATTGTCAATGCTAATTCTTTGCTTCAATGGTTCATTTAACACACACACACACACCATTGTGTTAAATGATATAAATACGAGTTTTTCACCTGCATTTGTCACGAAAAACAGAAATTCAAACATATTAAGGACCAGCATGTGAATAAAAAGTTTGACAACATTAAGCCCACACAGCTCCCAGTTTTGAACAAAAACACAACAGCAGCAGTGATGATGATGCCGACATAATTAAACGCGTAGCTGGAGTTTGTATACAGAGGTGGAGCCACGCTGAGCTCTGACTGAGTGAAAGAAAACACAGGAACAGTGATCATAGGAACAGTGATCACCAATAAAATCCTTACTGGGAAACAGCTAGCAGGAGGTCGTCATCAAAGCACCTGATCAACAAACTCAGACAAACTTTGTAGCTGCTCCATCCACCGCCATTTGTTTTACACCGCGCAAAAATCTGCAGTAAACCTCCAGAAGTTGTATTAAAATCTGCAGACGAACTGTTAACTTAGTCTAACACCATGTTTAAATTATACAGCTTACTGAAGGCTGTTTTTACATTGAAGTGAAACCTGCAGCAAACAGGGATGAGTCTAAAGGGGGGATGGAGTGTAGTAAACTATAATAATTTCAAGGCTTTTGTAACACTGTTCAGATTGAAATTGAAGTAATATAAAATATTGTATTAATTAAATAGCTTTTTTTAAACAATACAATGAAAAATGTACATGGGCCAGTACATTCTGAGTCATTGTCTTGGTGGTTGTTAAGCTGGACACTGAATTATTATCAGTATTAATTAATGTCTACAAAACGTCTGTTTCGACAACACTAAAACATCAACATAGGAAGAGCCTTCCAAGAATACAGTAAAGGTAAGTTTTTATGCCTTAGTTTAGTTTTAGAATCAGAATACTTTATTGATCTCTAGGGGAAATTATTTTGGTTACAGTGCTCCAGTATAAACGGTAACAAAGACAATACACTAAGTAAGAAATAGACACAATATATACATGACTTGTATGCATATAAGTCACTATTGATAAATAGCTGAATAAGAGGAGAGCATGTGCAAAAAGGGTGTAGCTATTGCAGTATACAGTGTGTTAAGTGGATGAGTTGTACAGGGAGATGGCCACAGGCAGGAATGATTTCCTGTGTCATTCAGTGGTGCTTTTTGGTACTCTGGTGCTCCTGTGACTGACCAGCATGTCATGCAGTGGGTAGGAGGTATTATCCAACATTGTCTTTATTTTGGACAAGTTTGCATATACATCTTGTTTTATTCAAGTTTGACCTTTGACTCTACTTGAGATTATTTCTGTAGTTCTGCATTAAACAAAATGTTTAGTTAAAAATGTAATTCAATATGGCATGTTTGTACAGTCAGAGAGTTTAGTTTGTTTTTTCATTAGAGATTTTGTAAAACAGTTCAACTTAAAAATATTTCAGTATCGATAGATTACTTGAATACTAAAATAATTGATACCTGCAGCCCTACTCTAAGAGTATGCTAGGCAAGTTAAGACATGCACCAAAGTAATCTGCTTTATCCGGGTGACGCAAGTAATCTTTTCTGCTTACAGTTCAGCACTAATGGGTGAGCGACAGAGGAAAAGGAAACTTCAGGACAGCCCAGCAGGAGATGGCAAGCTGTTAAAAGACAGTGTAAGTAATAGTTCAAGGCAAATGTTTGCTGCCTTGAAAAAAGAAGTAAAGATAGCAGCTACTTCAGAATCACACTCCCAGCACAAAAGACTGCACCACTCTTAAAACTTTTACAAGACTATTTTTTACACTGTGGTGCAGGGCTTCAATTAAATGAGTCACAGCGTCTTTATAGAGCTGTACGCCAACTGACTTTAAATGTTAGCTTACAGCAGAATTTTTCCATATGGCTTTAAACATGCACATATACTCGTCTCTCTCAGGATGGCGTGGCTCTAGGTGCTACAGGCCTGCGCAACCTTGGAAACACATGCTTCATGAATGCCATTCTGCAGTCCCTCAGGTAAGTGCACTGAGGACGAGGTATGTGGGTGGTGAACTGAGTCTGTGGCACGATTCAGTGGCTCTGCCCCTGTAGAGCCAGGGCCCCACGAGCAGTCATCCTTTATTAATATAGTCTGGGGCACAGTTAGGGGGATTACAGAGGCTGCTTGGAAACAAGACACAGTCAAAGGCCAGGTTTCCCTGATAATACACATTTAGTCACAATGCTAAAGGATTAGAGCAGTGGGGTTCCACATTTACAGACAACGAAGCTAGTATTCTTGCAAAATATATTTTTTCTTTTTTTTTCATTTTCAATATATTGATTAGTAATTTGAACATCTAAAAAATGTCACGAATAAGCAAATTTGTTGCTTTGAATTTTATTTTGTCAGGTTGTCATCACCTGGCAACTTCTGCTGCCTCTTTAAAGTCAGTGAATAAATAATTAGACAGTTTCAGCTGTAGTTTTTTTCATTCATGGTTGCCAACAAACATGAAAACAAAGGTTAAAACCTTGTGTGGACCACAGCATGTTTTTTTCAGGTTTTCCACACTTACTCTTGCTTTAAAAGTCCAAAGGTTGGATGTATGTTAGGTTCCAGCATCATCCCTTCAAATATGAAGTTAACTTTGTTTGAAAGCATGTACATATATTGTATGTAACTTTGAGCCACACCTCTTAATCAGTGAATTCAGACCCTTTAACATAGCTGTACAGTATAAAATCAAGCACCTATCCATGCACTCTTCCTTTACCAACATTTGTGAAAAATGTATCCAACTGTGTGGGAACCTTTAGAGAAGGGAGCTCGACTGTCTCGCAGAGCCCGACCTCAACCCTATTGAATAACTTTGGGATGAATTAGAGTTTAGATTGCAAGCCAGGCCCTCTTGTTAAACCTTAGTGTCTAACCTCACAAAGGCTCTTCTGGATGAACGGGCAAAATTGTCAAAAGCCTGTTATACTGTATCTGCAAATAGATACAGAAGCTCCTGCAGATGTTGTCACCCAGTACGTTTGTGCATATAGTGTATTTGGAACTTGGATCCTCGATCCCTATAGTGAGGTGATCTGGTAGGTGTGTTATACTGGGGTATTTTTACTAGAAGCATTTCCATATTTTCAGGATAACACTGCTTCAGTTCATGGGGCATACTGGGACATTGCTATTTCAATTAAAGGTTTAGAGACTTTTAGAATGCGAAGGTGCTTTGAACCTGTTCTCCCAGCGTTTAATCGTCCAGCATTTTATTTTGACACTCTCCTGCTCTTTCCTTTAATTCGTGACCTGTCGGCTGTCTGCTGATGTTACGTTTGAGACGACTGATGGCAAAATTTGTTTCTTTGACAGCAACATCGAGCAGTTCAGCTGCTATTTCAAGGAGTTGCCTGCTGTGGCTCTACGCAGTGGTAAGACGGCAGGAAGAAGGATGTACCACACCCGCAGCCAAGGGGACAACAGTGTGTAAGGTCCTCTTCTGAAGGAGGGACGATTTATGGGCAATAATTAACGTTAATTTCAGCAAGTAAAATTGGCAACATTGTTAGTTGTGAGTGGTTCTGTAAGGCATCCAGTTCTAATGTTATTGCTGAAAAGGAAAAGATGGGTAGGCAAATGAAGAAGAAAAAATCAGGTATAATTTAAAAATCCAGAAAATTATTTCGGTTAAGTCTAAAATAAAGTTTCTTTATGTTGAACAGATCTTTGGTGGAGGAATTCAGGAAAACTCTCTGTTCCCTATGGCAAGGGAACCAGACCGCCTTCAGTCCAGACTCCTTGTTTTATGCCATATGGAAAATCATGCCAAGTTTCAGGTACACCCACATTGTAAAAACTGTTTTCTATAAGTTAAGCTGCTAATGCAGAGCAGGAAACTGTTTCCGTTTCACTTCTGTTGTTGTTCCGAAGTGTTACCGTTTTTAGTCACACTACTAACAAAGGTGCATTGTGTTTCAAAAAACTGCAATAAACCATTGTGAGTCATTGCATGAATGCAATTTAAAGCTGTGTTTGTGTGTGCAGAGGTTATCAGCAGCAGGATGCCCATGAATTCATGCGTTACTTACTGGACCACCTCCACAGGGAGCTACAGTACAGCCGTAACGGGGCGTCTCATCCAGTCTCACCTCAGGATGGAGTCAGACTCTCTAGTACAGATGGCAAATGCTGCACGTGAGTCCTTCTAACCATACACTGATTTTGCTTTTGTTGTCTCAGCGGGATCCTGAATTTTTTTGCATATAGTTAATATTTCCTACTTTTTTCCAGTTAACACAGACTAGTTGTAACAATATACTATCGGCATGACCATATTTAGCAGTAAGTCACTATAACTTGAATGTAAAAGCTACTGCATGTTTTTTTTTTTTTATTCTTTACAGAAATGGGACCGCCAGTGTTGTGACATCCATTTTTGGTGGTATACTTCAGAATGAAGTCAACTGCCTAATTTGTGGGACAGAATCTCGAAAGTTTGATCCATTTCTTGGTAAGACATAAACGAAACCACACACTGAGCTGCTTTGTTGTCCCAAAGTTCATGTGTCAGTGTTTGGCAAGATAACACAAAAATAAATTTGGGTTTCTGTAGCAAATCTTTTTATTGTTGCTCTACATCATGAAGCAAATAAATGAATGAAAAGCCATTTATTATAGAGTTATAGAGTTAAACTTGATATAGCCTGATGGTGCGTGACATGTCATGTTTTTCCCCTTGTGTGTTTTTTACTCAGATCTGTCTTTGGACATTCCCAGTCAGTTCAGACAAAAGAGAAATAAGGACCAAGAGCCAGTGCCAACATGCACTCTACGTGGTAAGTTTCTTGTAGTCAAAAATGATCTTTTATAGGCCTAGTTTCAAAGTTTGT